ATCCAGGTAAGGGGGGGAGTGAGAAATCTCGCTCTGGGTGTGGGATTGTATGCTGGGTAGTGGGATTGGCCCCCAATCCTGTGTTTGTTGTATGTTATATTGTTTGTATGTTCTAATTGCTTGGTTAATATGTGTGTATGAATAGAAATTCTGTTGAGATTATGATTGTGAAAGTTATGAATATGATATGATAATGTGAATGTGATGTTTCTAATGATATGATGTGATGATGAAATATGATGTGAAATGACCATGAGATATGATTGACCATGAGATAGATAATGTGATAATGTGACAATGAGATATGAAATGTGATAAAGAGAAATGACCATGGAAAGTGATAAAGTGATATGAGAATGCATAGAGTCTTGTTTGACATGCATCATTTGCATAAAGTGATAAGGGTACGATATGGAATACGCCGCCAGAGAAGGCCCCCTAGTGTAAAAGCTGTGGGGATCAGTCCTTGGGGATGGCTCGGTTTGGAAGTCCCAGTCTCGCCCATTGTGTGCATGGGATGTATCTTGCGCGGCTTAGCTATCCCGACGAGACTCTGGTAGTATGTCCTTCTAGTGAGAGTGCGCAGAGGTTGTGTCCCGGCATGTACTCCTAGACTACTCTTTGTGTATTGCTAGCGGCAATATACTACGTGATAAGTGACTGGCGCCACATGCATGATAAAATGTAGTCTGTGTCCATACATGTGTCTTTTGATGTTATATGACAAATGAATATGCCTTGAATGAGTAAGATGTGATATTGTTATTAATCTATGTTATACATATTTTGTTTGTGCTTGGCTATCTGGTATATATTTCTACACTGTGAGCCGAGTGAGATGTTTTCTCACTCCCTTTTTCTTTGTGTTGTTTTTCTCTGACTGTTATACAGGTGATTATCAGTATGAGGCTGAGAATGTTGGTCGTGAAGCTTAGGCTTCTTTATGGGCTATGCTCTGATAGGACATGTGACATCGGGGCATAGATAAGATTAGATTAGGATGTTAATGTTATTATTTTGGAAACTTGAGATTTATTTCTTTGTAATTTCTGCTGATTGTGTATGTTAAAAATGTGATACTCTTTAAACATGTTTGATTATTAAATGTTATATTTAAATTTATTGAGTTATGATATGCGGGGTAGAGGGTGTCACACATCACACTTGACACACTCAAATAACTTATAGTTTACAGGCTCATGATCTTTACTGATACATCACTAGCGCACCCCTTGTCCCTATCCAAATATTAGTGAAGGAGATGCAATCACTACCAATCCTACCTATACCGATTGGAAAGTTCAAGATCAATATGTGTTCCTTGCTCTTCTGGGTTCTTGTGAACCTAATAGACAACTTTTCATGACCTTGACCACTTCTTTTTTTTGTTGAATGGATGAGGTTAAACAAACACTATGCGATTAGACCTCACACTTGTGTAATGTCTCTAAAAGACCATATTTCATCCATCACCAAAGGCACCTCCAATGTCAATGATTATTTGCATTCAATCCGACTAATAGCGGATGAACTTCTTCTTATTAGTCATCTTGTTGATGACCTTGATCTTGTCAAAGTTGTTTTCAATGGTCTTGGATCATTGTTTCATGAATTCACAACCTCAATTCGCACTATAGGCACTCCTTTATTGTTTGATGAACATTTTGATAAATTAGTAGATTTTAAAAATTTAATGCAGTGTAATTGTTACGTGTGAAATACACTTAAGAAAAGCATACCTTACTGTAGTAGTGACAATGGACAAAGTCCAAATATTGAGCCCAAAAGACACTTAAGGAAAGCATATCTTATTGTAGTAGTAACAATGGACAAAGTCCAAATATTGAGCCCAAAAGACAGTTGAGGAAAACATACCTTAGGCAGATGATAAACACACTTCCACTCTCGTATAAACACACCCCCTTTTTAAAAAAAAAATATATAATGTCTAAATTACCCTTAAAAAAAAAATTCCTAAATTTACACCTCCCTTCCCCGTACCTCCGTCCCCGCACCCCCCTTCCCCACACCCCACACCCTCCTTCCGCGCTTGGATGATGAAGCTTGCGTGATGCTGTCTAACTATCAATTATACTTAGGCTGCCCGACCATGTGCCGAAATCCATACTTGTCTTTCTTATAACCCTTTTCTTTGGCTGGGGACGAATGGCATCTTTTTTTTACCTGCTAGTAGTCCCAATAGCCAAGATGTTCTCCCCCTCCGACTGCGACGTCTGCCTCGCGCAGTGCAAGACGCAACCCCTCTCCTGCCTTCCCTTCCAGAAAGGGACACGTGGCGGCTCCCTCTTCTTCGACGGCTGCTTCCTCAGGTACGACGACTACGACTTCTTCAACCAGACCCTCGGCGACCAGGACTCCGCGGTCTGTGGAACTAACGGTACTTTCGCTGGTGGCGTTTAAGGCCAACGCTTCGGAGTTGGTTCGGAACCTGAGCGAGGTGGCGCCCCGAAACGATGGCTTTGTGGTGGGGTCGCTGGAGAGAAGGAACGTGACTGTTTATGGGTTGGCTCAGTGCTGGGAGTCTGTGAACGGGAGTGCGTGCCGGAGATGTTTGTCTCATGCTGTTTCTAGGATTGCTTCCTGTGAAACGCAGGAAGCCAGGGCGTTGAATGCTGGTTGTTACTTGAGGTATTCTGCGCGCAAGTTCTTCAACAATTCAACCGATGTTACCACACCTGCACATCATGGTGAGTTATCATCTCTCTTTTCACACCTGCTTCATGTGTTGCTTTTTAATTAGCTTGATTATGAGACTCTGGTATATAAGCAGAGACGATCCTTATCCTAGAAATCGATTTTGTTAGGTTGAGTTTGATTCAAATTCTATCCTAAGATGATATCAAACTCTTGAAAGCAAGGAGCAATCCAATCAGTGCGAGCGGGAAGGGGGGTGTGGGATGCGGGGAACGGGATACGGGAAAGGGAGGTGTAAGTTTAGGAATTTTTTTTAAGGGTAATTTAGACATTATATATATATTTTTTTAAAAAGGGGGTGTGTTTATACGAGAGTGGAGGTGTGTTAATCATCTGCCCATACCTTATTGTAGTAGTAACAATGGACAAAGTCCAAATATCGAGCCCAAAAAACTAGGTACAAGCAATTACCAACTTACTATTGATTTTTATTAGTTTGAATTGAATAACCAGAAATTGATTGATAGTATTTAGTGATTAAGAATAAAAGTAGAAGGATTATTATTGAAAATTCATAGGTAAAACACTACTACAAAATTACTATTTTACATCATTACATTTACATCGGTTCCTTTACAAACGATATAAATAAGAAGTACAGTGGCAGTTTTGTAAATAAATTAAAGATGTAAACCATTCTACATCGGGTCTACTTCTGACCGATGTAAAAATCAAAATTTTACATCGAGTTTTGCATTTAACCGATGTAAAACTGAACCCTCTCGACACAATGTCTCTCTCGCGGCATTTAACATACACTCTCGCGGGGTCTTTTGTGATCCAAATCCACAAACGCGCGGTCTCAAAGGAGCTCTCACGAGTGGTGCGCCAAATCCACAAAACCTCTCGACACAGCGTCTCTCTCGCGGCATTCAACACACACTCTCGCAGGCTCTTCTAGTCATCCAAATCCACAAACGCGCAGTCTCGAAGGAGCTCTCGCGAGTGGTGCACCAAATCCACAAACCTCTCCGAGGAGCTGTTCGAAATGTGGTAGTGGTCTTGCACGAGTTCTTCGCCAAAGGGAAAAGTAAAAGATTTGTAAGTTAACTTGCAAATTATTTTGGGATTTTTTTTTATAATTTCACAAGGTGCTGACATTTGCCTTAATTTGTTCTTGCACTCTAAGTTCTTGGCTTTCTTGAGGTAGCATATGTCATTTATATGTTTGCTTTTTTCATTCTTCTTTCTTGAATCAGTGTAAAATGGGACGTACGACATACATTTGCTTGTTGATTCTGCAATAGAAACAGAAGCTAGCGATCTTATTTCCTTGATTGGTAATTTCTTGCAAAGAACTCGCTTATAAATTTTATGTTTGATATTTTTCAAATTGGAATGGGGAGAACGGGGTGCTTGTTAATTAGATCTACCATGCCTTTAATAGCTGTCTCAAAAAATGGTTAACATCTTAATGGAGATAAAAAATTCATAGATAATTTTTAGTGAAGTTGTATTGAAAGTTGACTCGTAAGTTTATCATCTCCGTTCCCACCCACCATACCAATTTGGTTCTAAGAAAGTTTCATTTTCTCGAGCACACCCTGAAACACAAGCTATTTTTTGGGCTTGAACTTGAAATTTGCACAAAGCACTGGCTCTCTATCTTGAGATGAAAATTAATTTAATCTGGGGAACAGGGGTGTAAAGTATTGGACACTTAACTGTATGGTTGAAAGGCCTAGCTTTGCAAAAGCTTAAACTGTTAGTAGAACTTAGAAGGCTATGAATGATTCGTATTTAATATTTCTAACAAGTTTGCAACCTGAACTATAAAACAACAGATTTTTGTAACAATTCAAATCACTTAACTCAACCATATTATATGAATAAAAATTTTGTTCTTCATATTGTAGGATATCTGAAGAGGCTGTGGAAGTAAAGCATGAGTTGATTGAGCTGCAGAAGCATATCTCAGCAAAAGGTATTCTTGTTCAGGATTTAATGACTGGTGTCTATTGTGAATTGGAAGAGTGGAATTAGTCAAGCAATTATGTTGCTGAAATTCAGCATGAACCTGAACTACCTGAACTCGTTGAGCCCTTACCAAATGAGAGAAATGACCAGAAAATATTTTTCTTGGAAAATATTGATGTACTAGTGGCTGAGCAAAAGTTTGAAGAAGCATTAGAAGCACTAGATGCTGAAGAGAATGCATTTTTGTGCTTTTGATGTAACAGAATATAAATTTGGAGTCTCACGTAAGAAAAAGGGATGTAACAGGCTGAGTTTCTTTTGAAATGGAAATGGTTTTGTTTAAGAAAAAGTGGATTTTGTTTTTTGCGTGTGTGATTTACAAAGTGACTGCTTTGATGTTTTTCTTCTTTGGTTTTGTGGGATTTTGAATCCTCATCCTGCATTGTGTTGTCTTCTTTTATGTTGAAAATAAAAAAAAGCAGCAAGTTTAATTTTGAGCTCATTGTTTCTCTTCCCTCTTATGAGAAATCAAAATCCTGTCTTCTTTAGTTGTCATTTTATGTAAAACAATGCTATTTGTTCCATATTTTTATTTTTATTTATTTTTTTATTTTATCATTTGCAAATCCCTACCTGAATACTGATGCAGGAACAATGTCTCCTTTCGACCATGGGGAGGTTTTTGTCTTAGATGATGGTGGTGAGGTAAATAAACTAATTTTTTTTCAACCACTTGGATGCCATTTTTTAGTTTCTTTTCTGGAATTCAAGGGAAGGTTGAGATTGTATACTCTTCAGTGACATGCCACAAGCCATTGTGTGAATCTACTTATGTTGTGTTTTCCCTTTTTCCTTTCATTCATTTTCTCATTTTACTCAAAACTACAGCTGAATTTGTCATTTGTATGATCATTGATTTCATTTGTAGTATAAGAGGTAGTAACAATTGTTTTTCTGAGATTGCTATTCTTATTCTTTCTTTTTTGTTTGTCGAAGGTTGACCTTGACCTTGGAAACTATGAACGTTTCTTGGACATCAAATTAACCCGTGACAATAACATCACCATTGGAAAAATATACCAGGTGAGTACACTCCCTTTAAACGTCTTCTTTGTTTTTGGCTAGCTGTTCCTGACGTTTCTTAATGGTTTTTTTATTATGAATGTTTGTAGTCTGTTATTGAGAAGGTGAGAAGAGGAGATTATCTTGGAAAGACTGTTCAGGTATGTTTAATCATTCTGATTCTGATTTCTCCTCTTTGAAGCTTTTGTAATTGTTGTTGGTGCCTTGATTTCATTTTGCTTTTCCTTTGTTTGTAGGTTGTTCCACACATTACAGATGCTATCCAAGAGTGGATAGAACGTGTTACAAAGATACCAGTTGATGGGAAAGAAGGGCCAGCTGATGTTTGTGTTATTGAATTGGGTGGAACTATAGGTAAATAATACTCAGAGGAAACTTTTAATCAATACTAAGATAGAACTTGATTTTTAGTACTATTATTATAATTCAATTATCCATTCAAAACTTTCCGTATTTTAACTTTAAAAATCATGGGTTAGGTAGAAATAGAAAACTAAAAATTGAAAATGACTTCTATTTGGCTAATAGTGAGAGAAAATAATATTGATATTATCGGTACTATGAAAATTCTAGAACTCATATATTCTAAAACAACAACCAAGAGTGGGGTCAACTTTATTTTAAAGGATTTCATTTGATAAAATGGCTTTTCTTTCATGCAGGGGATATTGAGTCCATGCCTTTTATTGAAGCACTTGGTCAATTTTCATACCGTGTAGGTAATGCTTTGTCATGCTTCAAACCTCATACTCTATTTTTATATATCAATTTGGTTATTAGTGTGCTTCAGTAAATCATTCTTGCTAATATTTTTTCCCTTTTATTGGGCTTAGAAAATATGCCTGGAGAAATTGAAAAAAAAAATAATAATCAAAATACGTTGTTGCTTTTTATTTTTGGCTGGAGAATATATAATATATGTATTTAACTCATAGATGATCACTACCCTGCATGAAGAATTTTAAAACATATAAGATAAACTACTTTCCTTTTCTTTTGAATATCATGTAGGTAATATAAGGAAATTACTATATCAAAGTCACGGGTGCTGATTTCTAATTATACAAGTTTAAATACTTTTAAATAAACAAAAAGAAGGTGAGTGTGTCATAAATCATAACTTGAATTGCATAACAAGCATAATTACTTTTAAAGTATGTTGCATTTATCATCAATATAACTAGCTTTTTATGTATTGCAATAGTATGAATGGAGTGGATTCATGTCTACTTGAAACAGTGTTAATTGTTGGCATTTGGTTCAAATTTGTGCAGTGAGTTGTCTATCCATGCTTTACCAGCTGGATACTGAATCACACTGATTTCTATGTCAGTTTTTCAACTGTCACTATCTGGTTAAGAAAAACCTGCTTATTCATTTTTGAAGCTGCAGAGCTTTATTTAATTCTGCCCACTTCATTTTTGTCACATCTGACAGAATATTACTTATTCTTATGATTAAAATACCACTTTGAGAAACTTATTTTCATCTATCCCTTGCCTTGATTGATGAAATTGTCACTTTAACATAAAATTAAAAATGACTTTTAAATAAAAATCCAAAACATAGTGGTAGGCAGCATAAGTTACCTCGATTCATTAGCAGCTTGCAAAAGTTTTTTGAGTAAAAGACATTTAGCTCTGGCATGATTGTTAATGTAATTGTTATCGTTCTATATTGTTTCATCATTATTTGCAATATTTTATATGTTGTCATTCATGTGCAACTGACATTCTTCATGCGAAGTTTAAGTTCTTTGAAGTTGTAAGAATGTGTAGGGATAACTTAGATTTTTAGATAAGAAAGTGGGAATAAACACCCTCTTCCACGAAGGTGGACAATTAATATCAGAAAGGTGGATGCATCTAATTATTAGTGGATGGAGGTCAAGCATTTACATGAAGTGTGTTTGCTCTATTATTTCCTAACTCTTGCTCAAGCATGTAATTTTATCTCTGCAGTTGGTATTAATGTTTTATTGACTATTATATGGTAATTTCCTGTAATGAGAGTTAACTTATGTGCATCTAACACAGAATAAAGTTTGAATGATGAAAGATGCAGTGGCAGAGATTGACCCTTAATTCTGATTCTGCTAGAGCGCTGGAGATAGAAGGTACAATTTGTTTGGATATTTCATTTTGTTTCTATTAGTCTTAGTTTAAAAAAGTTATTTCAATTTTGAATTAAGGCATTCATTGCTTGACGAATCTATGAACTCATAATTTTGACACTCACTTCTTAATTTTGACGGAAACTGATTTATACACAACAGAAACTTGTTTCCGTAAAAAATGTCCAAAAAAAAAATAAAAACTGAGGGTGGAAAGATGAAACAGAAGCATAATTTTATTTTATTTTTTTTAAATTCTATCTACATCGGTTCTGAAAGAACCGATGTAAAAAAGTATACATTTTCTACATCGCTTTATTCTACATTGGTTTTACAACCGACGTAGATGACTTTAGAGAATCGATGTAGAATATGCATCTTGTAGTAGTGAAAGGTTCTAGAGTTGTGACTTATTGTTCCTGATCCCGCCAAAGATAAAACTCATGAATCACAATTAATTGTTGCCAATTATACTTCTAAAATTGTTAACAACCTTATGGTTCTAGGAAGCATTTGCACACAGAAGAGAATTAATAATTTAATTCAATTAAAAATTATGAAAAATACTTGATCATGCCAATTTTACAATATTTCTTTTATTTTAGGGTTTCGTTAATCAAAAGTGTTTGATTATGCAACTTTTAATTAACTAGTATAAAAATTGGGAACGCTAAAATAATACAAAAATTTAAACAAGAAAATTCATGAATTCATCATTAGGAATTCTCAAGGAACAATTACATTACAACCCTAGAATGAGAGAAATAGTCACACATGTTGCTATAACCCATTTAACAAAGAAAAATAATTAACCATATTGGAAGAATCCTTCTTCGAGGGTTTGGCCCTTAACCTCTTACAAAACCTTAATAACAAATACAAGAGAGAAAAGAAAATATAAAGCTAAAACTAGAGAAAGACTAGATAGAAACGGGATAAATTACAATGTGTTTGATCCCTATTTATAATAACATCATGAGGGTCTTCCAAAGCACGACTGTTCACAAGGGAAGCACAACCTAGATATTGTGTAGTTGTATATATCTCCAATTTCATGATTGAACCTATTATATATTATGAAGTTTGGATTATCTGTGTGTTCTCATAGAAATCCTAAATGATTATTTTAAGAATAGTTAATAGAAGTATATAATTAAAATGTGAAATTGAGGTTGGATTGGAGTATTAATGGTATAATATAGTAGTATAAAACTTTAATCGTAATTTTTACCAATTGGTTTAAAGTTTTGGGATTTTGGGTTTGTCATGTACGGTTTTTGCACTTCATTATAGTGAATTTCACCCCAAGTTAACAACTAGCACGTTCGTGCTCTCCATTGCATGCCCATGTGATTGATGTTGAAAAGTCCTATGCTGAAC